TCTTTGTATATAATGACTATATATTCAATATATATTGTGTATATAATGTGTTCTGTATATAATAATATATTGGTTTATTTATGTATGTGTACGTCTTTGTATATAATGACTATATATTCAGTATTTATTAAAGAGAGCTGGAAGAAAAAGAAATCGGGGAAGAAGAAAAAAAAATAAAGAGAGAGGAAGAGAAAGAGAAACGAGAGAAGAATTAGGGGGAGAAGAAAAATTAAAGGGAAAGGAAAGAGAAAGAGATGTGTCGTGTTAATAATAATTTCGTAGATATGCAAATAAATTTTCATGTAGTAGGGTATTCTTGGTCTCTTTTGTTCTATATATGTCTAAAAGAAGTGGACCAGTCCAGCGAGGCCTATACCCATAATGGGATGGCAAACTCTTATAAAAAAAATAAATAAATCATGAACTTATATTAGTAAGTATGTATATGAAATAATATAACAAAATTTATAAAATTAAAATATTTATTTTCTACAAAATAAATAAATCAATTAGGGCTTGATTGTTTACGAAAAAATTTGTTCAAAATGAGGTATTTTGGTTAATCATAGTTAATTTTAAAAATGTGGTATGGTTAATTGTTAGTGGAATTTTAAAAATATATTAAAATAATATTTAAAATAAAATAATTAAAATTAATTTGATGTAAAAGTAAGAGATAAATGATTGGAAATAATAGGTATTTAAAATTATGTGAGTGGATGAATAGTGAATTAAAGTTGATGTGATGTGTAAGAATGATTAGTTTGTATTATTTAATTATATAAATAATATTAAAGATAGTGGGGTTGAGTTAAAGTTGAGTTAAATTTTGAGTTGAAATAAAAGTGAGTAAATTAACTCATATACAATCGAGCCCTTACTATTCGTAGAGTTAGTGGACTACATCCTCAAAATCAAACTTGCATGGATGGACGAGCCCTTAAGTGGGCCTAACTATTTGAGGGTACACATTTGACAGATATGATCCATTGCTTGGGCCCTAACTATGGGGATATGAGATGGGCTCAGCCTGTGAACTTGATAAAACATTTGTACTGCAAGACTACGACGCTCGTGTATTACACGGGTGCTTGCTAATTTTTCTTAAAATCTAAAATTAATGAGAAAAAGTTATTGAAAATTTAAATATCTTTTATAAAATATATATATTATTATATATTTAGTATGATTTTTACGATTTACCTGTGTTATATTATAATAATGTTTTAAACTTACAACATATAACTACATTAAACATAAATATATCAGTTGGGAAATAATTTTATTTTTCTAATGTTTTTAATAAATATTGTTATTTTTATTATAAAGATAAGTATAATTTATTTATTTCATATATACAATATGGATGTCAAATCGAAGATCATCAAAAGATGATTAATTTGATATATTATATATGTAAAACCGGTAAGTAATACAAAAGTTATGAACTTTTAAAATGCATTTGCAATTCAATAGCTAATTGAAGGAAACAAATCAAAAGTCAGGGATATATTAGTCACTTAGTGCCTCACTATGTAAAATTACAAAGAATTAAAGGGTTATATTAGTACAACTGATATTAAAATACCTAAGTTAGCTAAATAATATTTTTGGAATGTCCGAACCTAGATTATTAATTATTAATATATCAATATTATTTGTCCAAACTTAATTACGAAGCATGATTCTTCGCCAAGTAGGATTCCGAAGCACCAGAAGCGGCCACGTAGGCTCAGCGCATTCGATAAATATATATAGGGAAGATAATTATTCTTAATATAATAATATGCCTTCTCAAACTTTAGAATATGGTTGGAACAATCCGAATGGAAGGTAAGTTTGACTTTTTGACCAATACTCAAGTTCAAGCTTGACGAGCCAACAAATTTTGGCCTAGCTTGGCTCGACAAAAAGATGCAAAGTGCTCGAGTTTTGCTTGAAATTTCATTAAAAAATATCTAGTTAAGTATATTAATCTAATTTTATGTATATTTCAGCGGCTCATCGATCACTCGAACTTACAATATGCATATTCAAACACGATTCAAGTTTGAATTGAAGGTGCTCGAACGCTCATTCGATTAGTTCGTTTGCAATCGTACTTTAAAATGCTTCTTTCTTAAGAATGCACAAGAAGAGCAAATTGGCATGTTATTAAAACTCTACTTAACTCGAGCTGTAAATTATTAATAAATTAAAAACGACAATGCTTGAGCTTCAAATTCTTGTTTATCACAATACTTTTAAAGTGACTGTAATATCCATTATTTTTGGGGACTCGAATATAAATAAAAAAATTGTCGACTGATTTTGGGAGCAACATGTCACGGGTGCAACGATAAAGGCAGCCAATTAATATCACATGGGCTCCTTCTCAAAGTCAAATTCGTAAAATGTTTCTTCTCTAATTCAACAGTTAGTCAAATGTTTCATATATATATATATATATATATTTGTCAACAAATATATATATTTTAAATTAAAATGTCATAATTTAATAAATAATATGAGTAAACTTAATATTTTATAATAATTTGAAAAATAATATGAGTAAAGTTAAAATTTTATAATATAAGTACGCATTTACGAAAATATGATGAGTTAGACTATTTAATGTTAAATGACAAGAATTTATGGGAAAAAATCACCAACTAAAATTGCACTATACTGGCAATTAATTACGTATTAATACATTGTGCTCAATTTCGCCTGAAGTAGAAAAATTAGGTGCCACTGGAAACCAATTTTGGGTGTGTGCCGGATAATTTTTTATTTATTTTTTACAATTAGATTAGATATGATTTTTTACTCAAAGTTCAATTCTCATCGAACTTAACTCTTCTCAATATTAGCAATACAATTAAATGAAATTAAATAATCAATGCTACACAATTTCACATAAAACTCAATATTCATTTATTTATAACTATTAATTATTTACAATCATATTTGAATACTTCTATATCATTGTATCTTTAACCATTACATTTTAAAACTCATATTCACTCACAAACTCAAAATCAAATACAAATTTCATTCAATCAATTTTTTTCCAATTTTAACTTACTTTATCAATAAATTAAATCAAACTAAAAAAAAAAAAGTCATTTCTAATCACATCTAAACTATATTATTTGGTGAACAAATCGAGATCGTTTGCTTAAAAAAAGTAATTTCTAACACATCTAAAAGTCATTTCTAAAATAAAAGTCATTTCTTTTTTTTTTTGGTACATAAAAGGAGGCATAGCCTAATAAGAAAAAGATCACACAACTACGTTCCGCGGGTGGAAAACACCGAGGATATCGTGTTCCAGCCACGGATTAACATCTCCCGAAAGGTTCTGCAACACATGAAGCCCACCAGGACTGCGCGTAGCCAAAGAGGCCAACAAGTCCGTCGCAAAATTTGATTCACGCCAATCATGGAGGAGGCGCACCTCTCAGTCTCTAATGATAAGCTCCCTGACACCTCGGATCAAACTTCCATTCGCTCCTACCCCATCATGGGGTCCCTCAATCATGCGTACCACACACTTGCTATCAACTGAAGCAATCGCTCTACGAAACCCCATATCCCAAGCTAGAGATAGGGCCTGAAAAAAAGTCATTTTTAATCACATCTAAAAGTCATTTTAATCTCGACTCAACTCAACTCAACTCGATTCGATAAAGGCTCGGTAATATATATCTCATCCCCACACACCCTCTCATAATTGAAACGTGGGTTTTATTAAGAAGAGAAAAATGTCGATACATATCCTATCAGCATTTACTACTCTCTTCCTACTCACGTCCCGATGTTCCGCCCAACAACCACCCACCCAGCCCCCAACGCCGGCAGCCGGCGACCCCTCCCGGGAATACCTAGAAGCCCACAACCGTGCCAGATCAGAGGTTGGCGTGGCTCCTCTCCGGTGGAGCCCGGCGCTCGCCAAATCCGCCAGCCTCACGGCGAGGCTCCAGAGGGACCGCCGGAACTGCACCTTCGCTGATCTGACCAACAGCCGGTACGGCGGAAACCAGCTGTGGTCCAGCGGGGCGGAGGTAGCGCCGGCGGCCGCCGTGGGGGTATGGGTGGCGGAGAGGAGGTACTACAACTACGCGAGCAACACGTGCGAGCCCGGCCGCCGGTGCGGGACCTACACGCAGGTGGTGTGGA